AATACATTTTATATCGTATCAAATTTATATATACATTTAAATATATTTAGTACTGTATCAAATAATTTTACTCGTGCGGAAGCACGGGTATCTTACTAGTTATGAGTAAAAGAATTGGAGATGTGTGGGTTTGGCTTAAAGATTTTATCATTAGATAAGGGATATCTTTCGTAAAATTGTGTAAATAATGTGAAAGTTGAGAGAAATTTATGTCATCTCCCAGTTATACCTCGCATTCCTTCAATTTGTATAAAAAGACAAAAGTGACTCTGCAAAATATTATTTTAAAATTTCTAAATTTACAGCGCTAGGACGGAAATTTCAAATATCTGAGGCGGTACTGAAAATTTTGAATCAACTATAGGAAATTTCGAAACCAGTGAGCTTTCCCACGGAAATCACATGATTTACAGTATTTTGTACCATAAATTTTGAAATTTTCGGTATTTTCTACTGGTAATTTTAAAATATTCGGTATTTACCTAAAATTTCATAATTTCCGGTATTTTCTAACGGAAATTTTAAAGTTACCGGTACATAACCCATTATTTTTATTGAAAATTTTAAAATTTTCGGTAGTTATAAAAATCTAGTTTTGTACTGAAAATTTTGAAATTTCCGGTAGTTATAGAAATCTAGTTTTATACCGGAAATTTTGAAATTTTTGGTAATTGTCATTATTATTGTTTTTCCAATATTTTTTTTCTTGTTTTGTAGTGAAATCTAGAGGCAAAGACGGTACTATTGCAGGAAGAGTTGTTGATCGAGCAACAGATTAGGGTAGGACTGACAAGGGTGTTGATGATGAGTCTTCGCAGCTACGGGCAAGAGGTGTGATCCCCACTGGTTCACACTGGAAGCGGTTGGCTGAGCATGGGTCATTTACGGGCACCAATTTATTCAACTTCGACGCCAGGCCGACAAGAGATGTGGTGTCATCGGGAAGCCGAAACTCTACAGGAGGAAAATGTATTTTTTAAGATGTGTTTATCAAACCCCTATTTATAAAACTTCGTATCTATTTTGGACCACACAAATTGTCAGTGTAATCACAGTCATCCAAAGCTACCGGCAAAATCCTAATAATCCAAAAAAATCATACAAATGAAACTACCAGAAATTTCACTTAGGTTGAAATTTCCAATATCACCACGAAAATTTTAAATTTCCTAAATATTTTGCACATTATCGAAAATTCCTAAATTTCTCGTACATCAAAAATTTCACTTTGCACTGAAAATTTTAATATAACCACTGGAAATTTCATACGGAAGTTTGATGTGTTTTTCACCCAGGGGCGATTTTAGAATTATGAAAGGGGGGGTGCCAAGTATAATTTAGGGTGTGGTAGGTTAAATTTTCAAAATTTGGTGGACCAAGTTCCACTATTATGGCCCATTTAGAGGAGAGTAATAAAGATGGGCTACAAAATATTATCCATGTTTAAAAAAATTAAGTGTACATTTTTTCCCTTGCTTGTTCTCACACTGAAGGGAAAGTCGTAACAATCATAGACTTGATATCCAACGACATCATTTTTTATATTTTCAGAACTAGATAATGCGGCTCACTTTTCCCTTCAATTATACTGATCACCAAGGTAATAGACTTAGTTTTATTACCTCGATTTAGTAACATAATTGAGGGAAAAAGCCTTGTTATTAATTTTTTTTATTTATATATTTTCGTTTTAACTTGTATTATGTTAAATAGAATCTAAATTGTCAATTTCTGAAACAAAAGCATCCTTATGTACTTGCTCTTACTAAACACTATTTGGAGAAATCTCCCTGAAACTAGTCAGTAGAGATCACAATCATCCTATATAATTAGGAGAGTTTAGTAGTTGTCTTTTTTTCATGACCAAACTTTCTTTTATATTGCTTCATTTATCAATGATGCTTAAAAGCACGCCTCTTCACATCCCTCATAAAAGTGGTCATGTTTTACATCTGCAGCCTACTGTAATTACAAGGTAACACTTTGTCCATCAATTTATGTAACCTCTATGTAATCATGGGGACAGTAAATATTCATTGTTTACACCAATTACAAAGCCAAAATGGCACATGCATTTTATTTTTACAATAAAACTAAAACAAATTATTAATCACCAAAAGAAAAATCAAAATACAAATTCTTGAACGGCCGTCGAAAATTTTGCTTTTGTGAATTTTTTAACCGTTGTTAAGCACCTATAATTTGAACCACATTTAAAATCAATTAGAATAATCAAAAACAACAAAAATGTTAAATCTGCAAACCATTGATCACAACAACAACAATATTAAATCTTCACACATTGATCTCAACAACAACTCTTTACTAACAAAAACAATATTAATTTTACTTACAACAACAAATAATAACAACAACAAGAACATTCAAACTTCAATCTCAACAACAACAATACCAACAAAAACAACAATAAAAATTCAATATCGACAACATACATCAATAACAACTAACATAAATAATTGATAAGTATATATGAATGTCACAAATAATAACACTTTAGAGGTAATAATTTTAGGCCTTTTACTTCTAAAACCATGCAACATTTAGTATCTTTTGACATCTCTACATGTTGGAAATAAATAAATATTAGTAAAAAGTATGCAGATGTAAAATAAATAAATATATATTATTAATTCTTATAAAATATTTACTTAGTATTTTTCTCATATTCCTTCTTGATGACCATAACAAATAGCATGCACATCGTCTAAATCATTTTTTTCATATGAGAGACGCACAAGTTTTGCTAAAGAAGGGGTCTCAAAATTTAAATCTTGAACTTCATCACTATTAAAAATATGTTTTCCTTGTAGAACAATTGACCATATATGTTTAGAAGGATCAGTGATATAAAAAACTTATTTTACTTGGAATGTCATGATGAATGGTCTGTTCACATGAGCTACCTTTTGAAGATCAACTCATGTGAATCCTAATTCATTAGTTTCTACATCAGTGTTACTGTCAATCCACTTGAACTTAAATAAAGACACTTTAAAAATAACATAGTCAATCTCCAAAATCTCCTCAATGACCCCAAAATACGCTTTAGATGTCAATAGAAGAATATTATCTTTGGAATTAGAGAAGCACGTGGATTGAGCTTCAAACATAGTCCCACTAATTTGCATGGTACTACAATCATTCTTTAATTTGTATAAAATGAAAATTTAATAATGTCGTATGCACTTCAAATTATTACATTAATTGTCTCAGATGCACTATTATCTTTAGAAACTCTTTCATTAAATCAATTTGTGAAAGTTTTGTTGTGGTCTATCAAAATCCATTTTAACTCATCCTTAGGTATTTTTCTTTGATAAAACTTTTATAAGCGGACAAGTAAGTTTGAACTTCATATTATTCAATATATAAAAATGTACTTGAAGAACTACATCTGATACCATTGTCTCAACATTTAAACCTTGAGTACAACTACCTCCATCTTCCATCATGACGAGACTTGCGAATTCCTATAAAATTTTCTTCTGAAAAATAGTTTGAACAAAATTCAATAGATTCTTTTGTGATGCACCATTCAATGATAAAAACTTTCGGACAATGATAATTCTTCGTATACTCTTTAAATAAATATAAAGGATTCGACACTCATCTATATCATTTTTTGTATTTTTAAATAAATATAAAACTCATTTTTAATGAAAACTTACGCACCACTTTTCTTTTCTCATGTTTTCTCAAATGTTTTCAATATCATTTAATGTTTTTCTTTAATTTTTTATATCCCTTATTTTTATTTAATCATTCAGGTTTTATTATTCTCTTATGTCAATGCAAAGGTTTTATTATTCTCTTATGTCAATGCAAACAATTAATTCTCTCTTTTAACTTTTATGGTGTGTTTGAATTAATTAATTGAAAATTTTAAAAATATTATTTAAACAGTTAAATTGAAATCCATTATTTTAATTTTTTTTTTTCAAACGATTCAATTTAAAATGATTGATCTTAGGGTTTTTAGATCATTTTATAAATTTTGAAACTTTTGTGTTAAATTTAAAATTTGAAAAATATTGATTAATTTACCGTTTTTAAATTTTTAAAGGGATTAATTTGTAAAATTTTAAAATAATTAAGGACTGATTTGCATTTTTTTAAAATTTTAGGAGTTAATTTGAAAATTTTGAAAAATATAAGAATTACATTGCAAAATTTAAAAGATTCCTAATAACCAATTTAACATTCACAATATATATAAAATAAAATAAATTCAAATTCTTTACTTTTAGATGTCATATAAAAATTTAAGTTCAACTTATACAAATATTTTATAAATTTTTATCATTTTAACAATTCTTAATTTTTTTAATTTAATTAATAAATTTTGGTGAAGTTATTATAAATTTCCTCACCAAAACCACTCATAATGAAACAAAAGGCTTATCTATAATCTAATCACTTTCACTCAACTTTTTGTCCTTATTGTGCATCATTTTGTCCTTTCTTTTTATTCCATGGCAAATTTTTATTAAAGATAAGAAATAATAATATTATATTCTTTCCCCCAATCATAACATACCCACCATGTTTTTTTTATTTATATTAACTACTCCTTTCCTTTCATATTATTATTATACATATAAAAAAATTAATTTTTTTAATACAATTTCAACAATTTGTATTCTAATTAATGTTGTGTATATTATTTCCAATTTTTTAGTTTTATTTTGCATTTATAATAATTAAAGTATAAAATAATTATTTTTGAATAATTGAGTAAAACTATGGATTTTATTTTAATAATTCTTTTTTTATTTATTTATGTCAAATAAGTGGGTAGTTATCAATATTAGAATGTATACTTTTCAACCATTTTTTAAATTATACTATAATGAACAATGATTATTTCATTTAATCTACTTTGGATATGATTTTTCTCTCATTCCAATTAAGCTCTATAAACTTATTTCTCCAAATAAAATTTCTTTACTCCCAAATTCTCAAACCTCATCCAAACAAAAATGGTTGATGTTCTAAGCCCTTTCACAATCCCATCTCCTCCTCCACCATCTCCTCTATCAAACCAAAACAACAACACCATACCCATGTTATACTATACTCTAGTAGTGATGGGAGTTGCAGCCATAGTTTTAGCGATTTACAACATCATCATCATCAAACGTTGCAATACAAACAACCACAATAATCAACCACAAGCCACAATAGAAAATCTTAGTAGTACGAGGTTTGAGAACCAACAAAGAAACTTGCTTTCAAGCTTCAAGTACAAGAAAGAAGTGGTTACAAAAGAAGAAGAATGTTCGGTTTGTTTATCGGTTTATGAAGAAGGAGAAGAAGTTAGAAAACTACCAAGATGTAAACATAGTTTTCATGCTGTTTGTATAGATATGTGGCTTTATTCTCATTTTGATTGTCCAATTTGTAGAACATCTGTTGGTTCTTTTTGTGATGGGATGATTGAGTCTGGTGGTAGCATCTCTGTTTGATTTGATTAGTTTGGAAATGTGTGTGTGGTATGTTGGGATGTCTCTAGGATAGGACATTGAGTGATTAACACCCCACCACACTAGTTTGGGTTGGTTCTTTTTAGTTCTTTATTTGGAACAAATTTTAGGTGGGATTGGATGAGAAAATAGTCACAATACGTGTATTTGCTTATTATATTTGTTTGTGTATGTTAGACATTTTTGTAGAATAAAACTGTGTCCTTTTATAAGATCATTTTTTAGAAATTTTCACCCAAATAACCAACATTACCTCCCCTAATATCCAAACTACTCTACTTTCTCTCATATTTCGCAATCTACCCAACTTTCGTTTTTTTTTTATTACAAGGGGGCGCTGTGGGGTATGGCTCCTCCTTATAATTTATATGGGGGCGTCATCCAGGATGGAGGCACCCTATAAATTATAAAGGGGGCGCCATCCCCTTTGCCTCTTCCCTTAAATGACTTAAAGGGGGGCGTCATCCCCTATGGAGCTCCCTTTAAACGAATATAACTTTTCAAATATATTATAATTAATATAATTAAAATTTAATATTATGTTATTCCAAATTTTTTTTTATAAATAGGTAGACTTGTTAACATTGTTTCATCCAAATTTAGAAGAGTGAGTCATGTACCTTAGAAGATATGGGCATGTAATTTTTTCACCGACGAAGCCTCCGATAAGGATGTTGTTTTGGAACATCCTGAGTTTAGAACAACTACGAAGAAATTTGAATCGGTGGCTAGAAGGAGACATTCCAAATGGTGAAAGAATTAGGAGTATTGAAAGAATTGTCTCGTACTTCTCTGTTGAAGACGGAAACATACGGCGGGACTGGGTGCGAATTAGAGATGACAACGAAGTTAGGTCTATGATGTTCGGAACTGATGATATTACTTTGATTGTTGTTATATCTTAGTTTATGTTGTAATAATCGTTGTATTTTTAATGATTTGCGTTGTTGCTGTAGAAGTATTTCAATTCGTTTTTGTGGTAATAAAAAGTTGATATAAATATTAAATTTCACGGTTACACAATTTTTAATGACCAAATTAAATCTACTTAGAACTTGTTCCAACATTTGGACAGTTTTTCCTCGTATGCCCGAGAAGACGACATATTCCGCACAATCTTTCCATTTTCTCAGTTGTATCCATTTCAGTTGTAATTCGGGTGCTTTTGGGGCGACCCTTTTTGTTTCTTCTCATATTTTCGTTGTGGTAGATTGTGTCTCCATGATAGGTTGGCCAATAGTCCTCACTAGCTACCACTGGAAAACTGTTACTGTAGATACCGAATAAGTTCACGACCTTGTAAACTTCTGATAGCTGCAAGAATGGATCCTGACGAGCAGTTGAACATGCGGCAAAGACATGTGAACAAGGCATGCGGAAGGTTTGAAACTTTCCGCAGTCGCACCAATATTTATGAAGTTCCACCCTGTAGTGTCCCATTGGCCGACCCTCGTTGTGATCCATTGTCTCATCAACAATGAAGTTGTAATCGTGACGATCAAATGGTCTAACTCGATGTGAGGCCGCCTTAGAAGTTTCATCCCTCATATACTTCATGCTTGATTCGCTGAATATTTGCCCTGATTGCAGTACAGCGCTCCATTTTTTGCCTCTTGCCGCAAAAAGTGACCCCAATCTGTAATACGTTGCCCATACCAACAGAGTGATGGGGAGGTTCCTAGTTCCCTTAAATACGTCGTTCAGTGATTCTACAAGATTTGTGGTCATGTGACCCCATCTGCACCCTCCATCAAATGACCTTGTCCATTTCTCGACTGGAATGTCATCCACCCACCTTAATGCTTCCGCGCTTGACAACCTTATTTCTTCTCGGTAATACATGAACGATGGTTGGTTTAAGGCATACCCAGCGTTCACAACTTTTTTAAGGAGATTTCTATCTTTAATTTCCCGCATAAAATTCTGAGCAATGTGTCTTATGCAAAAGACATGGACAAAAGGAGGATTGTGCCAACCATTAGCAGGATTGTTGTAGGTGCTCACAATAGAAGCATGTCTGTCAGAAATCAGACATAAGTTGGGTTGAGGTGCGACATGTGTTCTGAGATTTCTAAGGAAGAAACTCCAAGCTTCGCCTGTCTCACCCTCGACCAGGGCAAAGGCAATCAGAAATATATTATTATTTCCGTCTTGTGCAACCGCCATCAACAATGTTCCTTTGTATTTTCCATACAACCATGTTCCATCGACTTGTATAACTGGTTTGCAGAACGCAAAACCTTTGATACATGGTTGAAATGCCCAAAAGAGACGAGAAAATATCCTACTTCCATCAACACATGTTCCTTCAGGAGTGTATGCTGGTAGTGACTCCAATATTACAACCGTACCAGGAACATATTTTTGAAGTGCTAGTAGATACTGTGGAAGTTGATGGTAAGAATGCTCCCAATTCCCATATACATGTTCCACCGCTTTTATTCTACCTATCCAAGCTTTCCTATACGATGGGGTATAGTTGAACCGTGCAACCACATGAGAGATAATTGTGCTCACCTTCACAGATGGATCAATGCCCACAAGATGCAAAATCTCTTGTGATATCAATTCAGAGCTTAGCTTTCCATGATCTTGCCGATTGATGTTGGTTGTGCAAGTATGAGGTGGATCCATCGAACCAATCACCCAACAATCACTTCTTTTTCGATAGGACGCTGCTAATCGAAACTTACAACCTTCGTTACGACAAACTACGACATATCGTTTTGAGTCATTCCGATTGATGTAAAAATCAACAAATTTATCCATATGAAACTTTCTTATGGCTTTCATGCACTCCTCTTTTGTGCGGTACTGGTTTCCGACTTTCAAGACACCTTCAATTTGTTGAGAAGGATTATAGAAATAATCTGAGGAAGTATCGTCTCCACTGAATTGCAAGTTCGTCATGTGTTAGGGAGGACAATACACTTGATTTAATGGTAGGGCCTCTTCATCTATGTCTTGCAGGGGAGTCATTGCAGTGTAGTCCCCAGTCCCGAACAAATTAACCATTTGATCAACCATGGCCTTTCGATCTTCTTCCTCCTTGTCCACAACATCAATTTCATCTATATCCGTTGTTTCGCCAACCTCATGTTCAGTTTGGCAGAGTAACAGATAAACCTCGATATAGTCGAACCCAGAGTGTACATGACTATCAAACATTTGATCAACATCGCTGTCGTCTTGTATTTTCTCTTGAAAATACTTGACCTGATTGTTGTAAAAAAAACAGGACTTCTGTAAATGATCTGAGAGATTTGACCAGACAATATCTTCGACTGTATGCGCTCTTTGAAATACACAAAATTTGATTTTCTACTCATTGTTAATCGGGTAACATTTGTATTTTGAAACCCAAAACCCGAATTCTCAGAGATGAAAGTCTCTCCATTAAAATGGGCATGAACAATAAAATTTGTTGTTCTAGATGTAGTTGAATGATAGTTTAAGGGATGTGTTAGGATACAATGAGATGTATAATATTTTGTCTTGAATGTATACATATAGATGAAATGACCACGAATTTAATATTATTAAAAACATAAGGGAGGCGCCATGGGGTATGGCTCCCCTTCATTAATACATAAGGGGGCGCCGTGGGGTATGGCTCCCCTTCCTTAAGACATAAGGGGGGCGCCGTGGGGTATGGCTCCCCTGTGACACGTGTAAGAAAATTCACTTTTTGCATGCATGCAGAATGAAAGTGTACGAAATTTTCTACACATCAATATCTTTTCTACACAAATTCATCTATCTCATTAACTTCTCTACACATCAATCAATATTTCAACTACACAAATTTAACTTTTACCTTTACAACCATAAATTCAAATTTCAAATTCAAAATTTTTACTATAAATACTACTCCTCCTCATTCCAAAAAAACACATCAAATATATCCAACAATTCAAATTCTTCCAATATTTTCCTCATATATCCACACTATAGAAGTCGTGTCTCTGTTAATATTGGGTGAAACGCATAGAGGAACACCAAGCAACATCGCGTCTTATGTAAGTAGTTGTACTTGATAATTCACAATTTTGTCTTTATTCGTAGCATTATAATGTTTTTACAAATACAATGTTCTAATTTCTTGTTTGTTTTTTTGTAGAATACTCATGACTTTCGTACTCGTGGGCATAAACATTTCCCACATGACCCGTTAATTCAACCTTTTTTGGAGCGTGCGAGATTTGGAGAAGTCATTAACATTACAAATTATCTCCTTGATACCAAGTTTATCTTGGCTCTGCAAGAAAGGTGGCGTCCCGAGACGCACACATTTCATCTTCCAATAGGTGAATGTGCAGTTACACTCGAGGACATATACATGTTATTGGGTTTACCCATAGATAGTAAGGCGGTAAACGGTATAACCAATCCTAGCGGTAGTGTCATAGGAGAACTCTTAGGGGTTGAACCAACCCCACGAGATATGAGGGGCCAAAAAATTTTAATGTCATGGCTCAAAACAATTTATAGAGACTTGAGATTAACTCGAGATTCTCCTGAAATATTAAAAATTAGAAAAACAAGAATTTATATTATGTTATTAATAGGGTTATTTTTATGTCCGGGTACAAGTGGAAACACTGTTCACTCTATGTACTTACCTTTATTAGAAGATGTAAATAAAATAAAAACATATAGTTGGGGGTCCGTAACACTAGCGCACCTATATCGGTCTTTATGTAACAACTCAATAGCAAATTCGGGAAACTGGACCGGATGTGGTGTTCTTCTTCAAGCATGGGGTTGGTCAAGAATGACCAATCTAGCACCTATCCAACAAAATAATTTTGAATTCCCATTCGCTAAAAGGTAATTATTTTTCCCAATTCTCACTTATCTATCATAGTATTTCAATTAATTAATTATATTATTAATAAATGTTTTCTTTTCGATTTATAGGTGGTATTCGCTTGGAATGAATTATGACAACTGTCCACATTACAGTATCACGCAGTACAGAAATCCTATTGATCACTTGGGTCAAGATGATGTACACTCACAAACCTAACTATTTATGTTATACTCTACTTGAATATTATTAGAAAATACTTAATATTATTTTTTTCCTCCTACAGTTCATTTGGCGGCCGTATCTTGGTCTAGAAGCCTTTCATGAAGTTGAACGACAAGACTCTGCGGTGTGGAGTGCAAAGGTGCCGATTATGAACTTCACCACCGTGGAAATGCACAACAGTGATCGTGTGAAACTTCAATTTGGAATGCTTCAAGCTATTACATGTCCGCCAAAGTGCATCCCCGACAAATATCACACCGGTAAAGTCTCCGACCAATGGGAATATAATCCGTGGACCAAGTATGCAAAACATGAGTGTCGTGAATGGAGGCATCGCAACAACTATGTTTTGTCCGACATTGTGTTTCCATACGAGATGAAACAATCAATATAATACATGACTTGGTATAGGTCTGTATCAATTGGTTTCATTTCACATTCAAGGTATCTTGTTGACCCACGCCAACAAGATTCATCATCAAGGCCCCAACAACCAACACAACCCTATTTCCAACCGCCAACACAACCCCATTTCCAACCGCCAACCCAACCTCATTGCCAACCATCAACCCAATACCATTTCTAACCGCCAACCCAACCTCATTGCCAACCATCAACCCAATACCATTTCCAACCGCCAACCCAACCCCATTTCCAACCATCAACCCAACCCTATTTCCAACCACCATCCCAACCCCATTTCCAACCGCCTACCCAACCCTATTTTCAACCCCCACTCACACAATCACAACAATATGAACATACCCCTAACCAATTCACTCCATTCACACAAAATCATTCACAATCCACACAATACCACACATACTCCATGGATACTACAAATCAAATAAACACCCAATTTCAAACACCCAATCAACCCGACCACCCCAAAATAATTATGAAGGCATGGGCAACCCTTTTGATTTGGATGACTTTACGGATATGGACACGTCTTCATGGGCCGAAGTGATGCAATTGCTTAAAGACGACACAATGGACCCGACTCCACAACAAAGACCACAAAGAAACGTACGTGATCGGGGATGCGGTACGGGCGAACATTTAAACCGACCACGACGTAGAAACTAGTGTACAATATCTTTCATATGTACCCATTTGTGATTAAATAATTATTGTAATTATTATTTAATATTAAATTTATTAAATACAATTTGATTTTTATTTATTATTTGGAATTCATTAATGAAATTATTAATTATTATTTATTTATTATTTGTAAAATATATAAAAATTATTCAGAAATTATTATTATATAATTATTATTTTTTAAATATTTTTTAATTATTAAATATTATTTATTAAATATTTTTAAACTAATTATACTTTTAAAATTATTTTAAAAATTCGGATTTAAGGGAGGAGTCAAAGGGGATGACGTCCCCTTTATAATTTATAGGGTGCCTCCATCCTGGATGGCGCCCCCATATAAATTATAAGGGAGGAGTCATACCCCACGGCGCCCCCTTGTAATAATAAAAAAAAAATACGAAAGTTGGGTAGATTGGGAAATATGAGAGAAAGTAGGGTAGTTTGGATATTAGGGTGGGTAATGTTGGTTATTTGGGTGAAAATTTCCATTTTTTAAGTTATAAGATATTTAGAATATATTTTTCGAAAATTATATTTCTGAAAAAATTATAAGATCATATATATATATATATATATATATATATATATATATATATATATATATATATATATATATATATATATATATATATATATATATATATATATATATATATATATATATATATATATATATATATATATATATATATATATATATATATATATATATATATATATATATATATATATATATATATATATATATATATATATATATATATATATATATATATATATATATATATATATATATATATATATATATATATATATATATATATATATATATATATATATATATATATATATATATATATATATATATATATATATATATATTAAAAAAAATATTCTTTTAAATATTTTTAATATGAGATTAATTACTATGCATGTCAGTGTAAAAAAATTTACACAACCAATTCATCATCATCATTGATTTGCATTATTTTATAAGTGGTTAAAATAAAAGTCAGATTTCTTTTAATATACAACTTCTACGATTAATTGATTGTGTAAAATTATTTTAACTATCAGTATATTTTAATTAAATTATTTGAATATTTAATTTTATCTTGTTACAAAGTTTTGATTCAAAAAATATTTTGTTTCCAACTTTTAGTCTTCACGATTAACTGTTTCACCTTCTCTTAAAATATATCTTTGGATGTCATGCACCTTAGAATCTATGTGGAAAACATTATTCTCACACGAGTTATAATATCAATCAACTTTAGTTTTCTATTATTTTTCAATTTGTCAACAGAGCCTCCACCGTCGGAAGATATGAAATCTCTGAGGTCATGTGTTAGTGTTCCTGTAATGGCACAATGCCAAAAAAGACCTTTAGCAGCGCTGCCAAAAGTGGCGCTGCTAAAGATAAAGACAACGCTTTTTTTTAATGGAAAAAGCGCTGCTAAAGGCTCCCTTCAGCAACGCTTTTAGCAGCGCTTTCTTAGCCCTTTAGCAGCGCTTTTATAAGCGCTGCCTATTCCCCCCAACCCTCCCCCCTTTAGCAGCGCTTTTACAAAGCGCTGTCTTAGACCCCCCCCCCCTTTAGCAGCGCTTTTATAAAGGGCTTTCTTAGCCCCCCCCCCCCCCCCCCTTTTAGCAGCACTTTTATAAAGCGCTGTCTTAGACCCCCCCCCCCCCTTCCCAACCTATATTGTGTTTGTGTTGTTGTGGCTTCTGTTGTTTCTTGTTTGTATTGTTTTGTGGTGTGCGTTGTTTTTAAATCTATGTTGTTATCAGTTTGTGTTCAAGGTGTTTGATAAAATGCCTCAAAGAAGCTTGAATGAAAGAGATGTGTTCTTGAGCAAGAATCTAACTAGGTTTGCTGTAAATCAAAATACTATTTTCGGTCAACAAATGATTCCCCCATAAATCGTGAGTTTAATCTTTCTTGAGAACCTGTATAATTGAATTGTGTGTGAGATAGCTAAACAAATTATTTGTAACTGGATAGATTTAAAGATTGTGGTTTTAGAACTCACTTGTCTCTTGTGGATGAATTCTGTTTGGTTGTTTGGATTGAGGAAGTGGTTTGATAGCGCTTTTTTGCCTTCTATTTTCTCAAAGCATTTTGATGTTCTTAGTTGGAGGGGCTGTTTTATTAGCATTGTTGTTAATTTATGGATGAGAAATACCAAAACACAATATATTTCTCTTTGTTTGTACTCTCTCTTTTTCATATAATGCAAGAGTTTGTTTACTGTAAAAAAAAAAACAATCATCTTTACAACATTTTTTTATGAATTTTTAAGATGGACCACCTCAATAGAAGATGTGAGCTTAGCATCACCAGTTGTATTGATGCATTCTCCTCTTCTATTTCACTATAAGAAAACTGAGTTTTATTTTCAATATATTGTGTCGATGGAAGAAAAATATGAATGCTAAAACAATTTTAGCGTCAAGCTATCACCGCTAAATGTGATAATTAACTTTAAGCAATAAATTAGCTTAAACAATTATGTTAAAAAAACATACCCAGATCGACATGTTACCAATCCTACATTTTGACCACTGCATGCTTGAACATACTTCGACTATAGCATGCAGGATCCGCATGTGAACAAACATCGACTACATGCTAAACCTTTGTCGAACCATGAAGTTATCCCCGTCGAGACTAGAGTTCGATCCAAATACCATCAATCTCCACCTTGGAACAAACTATATACTAACAAGGTAACAAACTAGTTTTCATCATGCAGCTTTATTAACTGCATATAGTGGAAAAACTTACTACTTGGCAATGTCTTAGTGATCATATTAGCAGATTTACCATCGGTCGAAATCTTTAGAACTTGGATTTTTCCACGCTCGATTTTCTCTCTTATAAAGTTCATCCTTACATCGATGTGTTTGGTTCGCTCATGATAGGCTAATTTCTTTGAAAAGTGTATGACACTTTGATTATCACATTTAACAGTGATAACTTGAAATTGAAGTTTCAGCCCCTTAGCAAAAACTCCAAGCCACAATGCTTCTTTCACATCTTCAGTGAGGGAAATATACTCCTCTTCAGTGATTAATAAGGCAAACATAATAAACACATATCTAGAAATAGATTTTCTGGAATCCATATAACTTGCATAATTAGGGTTGACAAATCCTTCGATTTTGACTTTGCTATCATCACCATAGGCTCCACCATAAATTAGGACTTTGCTTAGAGACTCATTTATATACATTAGAATCGACTTCAATGCTTGTCAGTGCGCCTTCCCAAGATTGGCCATATCATACATCAAATAACATACTATACTAGCATATATAATGTAAATATAAGCTATTTTGACTTCAGTACAAGGACTTTGAGTCAAACTAAGCTTGAACTGAGGATCAGTCGGTGTTACAACAGGCTTTAAATTTGACATACCAAACTTATCGAGAACTTTTAGTAGGTATGTCTCTTGAGATAAACATAATCTCGATTGCTTTCTATCTCTCTGGATGTCAATCCCAAGAATCTTGAAGGCAACTCCCAGATCCTCCATGTCGAACTCCTTGTCGAGTTCAACTTTCACCTTTATAACATCTTTGAAACTATTGCTTGTTGTGAGAATGTCATCCACATAAAGCAACAAAATAACAAGTGAATTTCCAAGTCAAAATATGAAGTAAACACAGTGGTCGAACTGACTTTTAGTGAAACCTATGTGTTATATGAACTTGTCGGTCTCTTATTCCATTGTCGAGAAGATTGTTTTAAGCCATCTAAAGACCTATTCAGCTTGCACACATAATCTTGCTTTCTCTTTTCTGCATACCCTTCAGGTTGCCTCATCAGAATTGTTTCATCTAGATCACCATATAGTTCTAAGTCAAACTTTACCACCATGGCTAACCAAATTCTAATGGATCTATGATTTACAATAGGTGAGAAAATATTATTAAATTCGACACCTTCTTTCTTAGTGAACCCCCTAGTAATCAACCTTGTCTTAAATCGCTTCAACATCACTCTTTCGGTTCCTTCCTTAACCTTCAAAATCCACTTACAACTGACAAACATGACCCCTGCAGGTTTCTCGATCAGCTCCCAAGTGTTATTATCATAAAGAGATTTCATGTCATTATCCATGGCTTTCAGCCATTCAGTCTTGTTTCGAGTCCTCGCATCTTCCTTGTAATCTTTATGTTCTTCATCAAGAACCTCATTTGCAGACATTAATGCAAATGCTGTTAGAACAACGTTTTTTTCATGACATATTTTCCTTGGGTTTTGATGATAACAATGTATTAAAAGAACAATGGTTTATTTGATGTTTGTTACATGTGTGCAGGTTCTTATACTTGTAAATATTATTATCAGAATATGTTCTACATTAAGCATACTTTAAGAGTTATTGCATTGCTAGCTTCTGGTGGCAGAATTTGAAGAACACTTGCTAAGTGATGTCTGGAAAAGACTCTGAAGATGAAGGTCTCAGCATAAGAAGAAGCAACATTATTGTCTCCACACTTAGTGAATTCGAATTAGCTTCTGGTACCATTCAGAGTTGGTGATAAAGCTGAAGTTGTCTGTACTGCAGAAAGCAAGTTGTATTGTCAAATTAGTTTGTTAGCTATAGTCTACATATTGTAAGGCTCAATAAAGGTTGAGATGCTTTATGGATATCTACTCTCAATAGCTCTAATAGTACAAAATCTCTTGAAGACTCAACGGTTAAACATGTTACACATTGGATTAAGATCTTCTAGTGTATATATCTCCAACGACTCTTGTACTATGGAGTACCAGCAAAGACTCTTGATCAAGTTACCTCATCAATGGCTAGTTTATGAAAGGATATAAATATGGATGAAGGTTCAAACTGAATCTTTAATAAGGATCAACTCGAAGAAGGAGTAACAAGATCAGCAGTTATCAACTCAATGTATACGCAGATTTTTCTGATGTAGGTTGTAATTGTAAATGCCTTAAGATTTCTTACACATTGAATATCTTAGAAATATTAAGAGATTTAGGTCTTTGTTATGGTAATTTCCTGTACCTCTGATACTTATATCATGTACACCTTGTTCTCTATTCTGCTGAGCTTGTTCAGTAGTTTAGATAAAGTTTGTATCATTGGGATACAAGCAAGGAAATCTTGAGCCAAGATGCTTAAGTCACGTAAGTCTCTTGCTTTGTGCTTGAGCAATGAAAGTCTTAATCAAGTAGATTGATTGAGCAGGAAAGTCTTGAGCCAGTGTGGCTTGAGCAGGATAGCTCGGTTCATGAAATTTGGAGCAGTAAGTCTTGGCTAGGGGAGGTACAAGCAAATGCTTGTTTCATGGAATCTTGAGCAGAAGTCTTGGGCCTAAGGGGATTGAGAAGAAATGCTCAGTACATGGAATTTGAGCAGTAAGTTTTGACCTGAGGAGTGCAAGCAGAGAGGCTCGTTTTATGGGAATTTGAGCAGAAGTCTTGGGTTGAGGGCCTGAGCAAGGAAGTCTTGGGTTCGTGGAACCTGAGCAAGAAGTCTCGAGTGAAGAGCTTGAGCAGAAGTCTTGGACCTTGGGTCTGAGCAAGTATAAAGACTTATGCAAAAGGCATAAGAGATTGCAATCATGGTTTGATTATAGTGAAAATATCTTGTAAAGCAAGGGGACTAAACTACTCTTAGTTAGGGGAGGAACCAATATAAATCTTTATGTCTTCTGCTATTTTTTATTTACTTCTGTTAACATTCCGCTGCTAAGAATTAACCAGAATCTGAACACCAATTTAGATTTTGAACTCCGATCAGATGCAAACTAAGAAAACGGAAAACACAATTCAACCCCCTTTCTTATGTACTTTTCTCACCTTCAAATGCCATGAGATCTACATAACCAAGTTTCTGAGGTGGCTTGATGACTCTTCTTGACTTGTTTCTTGCCAGCAGGTAGTCATTATCAGTCTCCTCATCTTCATCAGCACCTTGTGCTTCTTCTTCGACTTCATTTGGGTTATGCAATTCAACATCAATATCGTCCACCTCAACGCTAATATCTTCCTGTTCCAGCTCCTCTTAAGAGATATATCTTGAAAGTCGTATTTTCTTCGTTGAAAACTACATCTCGACTTGTGATGCACCTTCTGTGACCTGGCTCCAGGCACCACATCCTATAGGCCTTGACTCATTCGGGGTATCCAAGAAACACATATCTCAGAGCTCTAGGTTCGACCTTGTCTTGCCTAATGTGAGCATCATCTAAACAATCAAATACTCTATGTCTATCGAGATTAGGTGGAAGTTCCGACCAGATTTCTTCAGGTGTCTTCATTCCCAAGACAATCAAAGGAGACCTATTTATCAGGTATGATGCAGTCACAATAGCTTCTGCCTAAAACATCTTCTTTAATATCGCACTAACTAACATGCATCTAACCCTTTCCGAAATGGTTTAATTAAACCTTTCAGTCAAACCATTTTGTTGGGGAGTACATGCAGTACTTATGTGCCTTGCAATACCAGACGCAACACAATAGTTGTTGAAAGTCTCATTGCAAAATTCAAGACCGTTGTCCGTGCTCAAGCTCTTAACCTTCCTGCTATTTTGGTTTTCGACCAGAATCTTCCAACTTTTAAAATTTTCAAAAGCTGCATCCTTAGTCTTCTTGATGAATACACATAACTTTATAAAATAATCATCAATTATAAATAGAAAATATTTTACACTTGAGTGTGAAAGATTCTTTACGGACACTCAAAAATCAACATAAATATAATTTTAAAAAAATTATGTCTTCTTTGTTTACCGAATATCGTCATATCATTTATTATAATTTTTATTAATATATACTATCTACTTATTAAAACTTATTTCAATAACTACAATTAATATATTTCATAATTTTTTAAAGTTAGCAAAATAAAATGTGCCATACAGCCTTTTCTTTTGTTTTTAGCATTGGGAATGAGAGGTGTCTTCCAACCCCATTTGATTGGTTGGCATTTGGTGGCCACGTGAGTCCACATCATTGAAAATTTTTCATCGTGTCGTTTTCTTGATTCGGCTTTGCTACTAATACTGATAGTGATACTATTTCTATCTTAAAAATTAGTTTTGTTTTAAATAAAATATATCTTTAATTGTTTTAGTTTAATAATTAAAATTTAACTCTAACTTCTAGTTCAAATATGCACGTCTATAATTTTATATTGTATTTTCTTACAACTATCAACTAAACTGTACTAATGAAATTATATATTTAATTTTAAATTTTATATTGAAAGAAGATGGAAGTCATGATGAAGGAGAAGATAATAGTGATATGAAAATGATTTAACTTATGATGAATGAGAAGAAGACAATGATGATATGGAAAAAGATGGAATTCAATATGAATGAGGAGAAGACAATGGTGATATGGACGAATATGTCAATGTTGATAGTGTTGAGGACATTCTGGCATTAAACGTGAAGGAATTTTAGACCTATTTTGGTGAGGAAAATTAAAAGATCTATTTTGGTGAGGAAAATTAAAATAGGAAGTTTGTGATTACAAATGAGTTATATAACTATAACACAGCAATGAAGGAATTTATAGTTCTAAAAGCTAAAATTATTGTTAAGAATAACAAGTGTGAATGATATGAGTAATACTTTTACATTATTTAACAATGTGAAGACTTGAACATTTATAAGTGGGAGAACTCATACACTTATTACTTTAAGGTTTTGGGTTAATTTATGGTGTGTCTCTCACAAAGAGATGTTGCTCTAGAAAGAAAAGTCTCACAATGTTTAATGCTCCCTAGTGAAAATCTCCCCTAACAGTAGTATCAGAGTCTGGTTCGAGTGAAAGACCGACTCACTTGTATCGAAAGTACTCCCGCAGGTGGTGATTAGGAGGTGCCCAGTTGAAGTGTGTCAACGACGGTACAAATGTATGTGGATGAAACTTCCGCTTAAGGGATAGTGTTCTGGAAACTTGTGGATAGACTCAAAATTAAGGAGGAGTGTTAAGTATAACAAGTGTGAGTAATAGGAGTAATAGTCCTATATTGGCTAAAAATGTGAAGTCTTGAGCATTTATAAGTGAGAGAACTCATACACCTATCACTTTAAAGTTTTGGGTGAATATGTGGTGTGTCTTTTACAAAGGGTTTTGGGCGACGTTTCTTTCTCTCAGATTCATCTGATTTTTTTTTAAATTTAATTTTGGTCGCATCTCTTCTCAAGTAGAAGTGTCTTGTGTGTTTGGCCGGAAATCTCTATTCATGGTGGTAATGAAGTTAATATGAGAAAATGGAAAAGCATTGCCCTAACAAAGGAGGAAGAAGAAGAAGAAGTTGTAACAGTGGCGATAAAGGAGGTCAGCGGAGAAGAAATCTTTCAGCGAACACTTGCAGGGAAACTATGGACGGATAACAAGTTCAACGCACGAGTCTGCATGAGTACCATGGTGGGTGTGTGGAAACTCAAAAACCTGGTGGAAACTCACGAGCTAAGAACAAATATCTTCCTATATTGCTTTGCTACCAAACGAGACTTGGAAAATGTGTTACGAAATGTCTAATGGAGTTTCGACAAAAAACCTATTAGTCCTAGCTTGTGTCTCAGGTGAAGAACAACCTTCTAATTTGAACATACACTTTGGAATGTTTTGGGTAAGGATCTACGAGCTCCCTCTAATGGTTAGATCTCAAATAGTGGCAAGGAAAATCATAGGTATTTTGGGGTGTTTTGAGTATATGGGTAAAAAAGAAGCCCATAGAAATGATCATTTTCTCATAATCAAAGTAGCAATGGACCTTAAGCAACAGTTGAAAAGAGGAACAATAGTGTGTTTCAAAGGGAACAATAGTATATTTCAAAGAGAAAAAATTACGAGTTCATTTCAAATGCGAGCATCTACCAACATTTTGCTTTGCACGTAGAAGACTAGGGTATTAATTGAAAGATTGTGAAGTGTTGGGTGACTTGAGTGAAGAGGGGTATGATAACCTGGATGAAAAAGAGTTATCATACAGCCTTTGGCTTAGGGCCTCACCATTTCCTAGAGTATCTGAGGAACATAAGAACAATAATTCCAGTCCTAGCACGTGTTGCAGAAGTTTATTCAATATCTTGTAGGTACGACACAAACAGGAAGGAGAAAGAAGGGGAGTTTGAGGTAGATCAAAACAAGGTCATTGGGACACCATCAAGAGAGAATCGAGGCATAAAGGAGGCAATTCAAAATAGAAATATTTTGGAGATAGAATCAATTGTAGAATCCCTTGAAGTTGTGGATATTTGTAATACAAAAAAGGAGGAATTTCAAAATCAAAAGATGCAAACAACAAACAGAAGTAATGGACTAGGAAAAAATGGGAAGGAAAGTGAGTCCAACCCAAATTAAGCTTTTGGATTTTGAGGAAGGAAACCGAAAACTGATTTATGTTATGATTAAAGAGGGGTCACCAGAGGAATTTAGGAGTGGAGAAAAGAAAAGGAAGCAATTAATTGGCCCAGTGGATTTAAAAATAATTAGAGGTGGTGTTGGAAGTCCAACACCACCTACCCAAATGAAACTTCTAAGTTGGAACTGCAAGGGTTGGGGAATCCCCATGCAGTTTGAGGCTTGTTGAGATACATTCGCATGGAAAATCCCAATATGATGTTCTTAATGGAAACCCGACTTAAAGATGAGGAGGTACAAAATATCAGACTTAAGTGTGGTCATGACTTAAGTCAAATGGTAGAGTGTAAAAGGAATGAGAAAGATAAATCATTGGGGCTAGTACTGTTATGGAATGAAAATGTAAAGATTACCATCTTGTCCTTCTCTATTAATCATATAGGTGGATCAGTTCTGGATGAGAACGATGGTCATGCGTGGTTTTTCACTGGTACCTAGGGATTTCTGGAGGAACATAATAAAATAAAGATTTGGCACTTTCTCCAAAAGTTGTTAAAGGAAAGTGGGGATCGGTTAATTTTGTTTGGGGATTTCAACTATGTGTTAGCTGGAAATGAGAAATGAGGAGGAAATAACAGGTCAACTAATCAATTTTCATGGAGCCGTCAAACTTTGGATCTATGTGGTTTAATTGATCTGGGCTTTGAGGAATATCCATATACTTGGTTGAATGGAATACAGGAAGAAAAAAATATCCATGCACGCCTCAACAAGGGTTTAATAACAATGAGCTTTATCAATAAGTTCTTCCTAATTAAGGTTATTCATCTCCTTTGTTTTGGGTCGGACCATGCAACTATTTGCGTCGACCTAGAAGTTTCTCTGGAGGAAAATTTCAAGAAGTGAAGTCATGGCTTCAAATTTGAAGAAGTGTGGATGAGAAACCCCAGATGTGAAAATTTAGTCAGACAACTGTGGAATGGGATCGGGAATTAGGGGCACCATAAGTTAAAATCAATTCAGGGGCTGGAAAAATTCTTTAAAGAATATAGAATCGGGACTATGACAAAAAAGAGATTAAGAGAATTAAGACTTTGTTGAAAGAGGATGTACGATGGTTAGCAAATTTGGAGGACATGAAGACTCACAAAGCTCTTGAAAATCAATGTAATAATCTCATGAAGGTGGATGAGGTGATCTAGAGGCAAAAAAGCATGGCGGTTTGTTGTGAATCGGATACCTTTAAACAAAGTATGAACGGTTTCTTAATGATCAAGAAACACACAAGGGTTTGGGTTAACAAAGAAAACAAGGTAAAACAACAAGGAACAACAAGGGTTGGTTATTAAATTGCTATTCTTTCCTTTCTCTTAGGACAAGATTACAAGTATACAAGAATAACAAAATAACCTCTCTCCCTTGAAATTAGGATTTTATCTTCCTATTTTAACTTATGCCAAGATTGAGAAACTAGTATCCTATTTATAATAAAATAGCACACTAACCTAATGGGCTTTTTAACAATTACACATTACAAGCTAACTTAGGGTACAAGCTAACTTAAACAATTGGGCTTACAAGCAAGACCCAATTCAACATGCTAACAACCCTAGCAATATTGACTAATGCATGTTAGAAAAACTTCGACTACAACACGCATTACTTGCGAACAGAGTTCGATCCAACGTCTCACATATATCCACCTTGGATCTAACTCTATAAAATCAAGAAACTAGCTTTCTTCATGCAGCTTTATTAACTGCATACAGTGGAAAAACTTGCAACTGGGAAACATCTTGGTGATCATATCAGCAGCATTATGATCTGTCGAAACCTTCAGCACTTGGACTTCTCCACGCTCGATTACCCCTCTGATGAAATGCAGCCTCACATCAATGTGCTTGGTTCGCTCATGATAGGCTGAATTCTTTGACATGTGTATTGCAATTTGACTATCACATTTAACAGTTGTAATACCCCAAATTTTACCCTTATATTTAGTCAGTCATTTCGCATAGCATCTCATCTGTGCATCTGCTAACCACTATCGAGTCATGGAGGTGTTTGTTTTGCAGGAATTACCCCAGGGGCATTTTGGTCATTCTTCGTGGAGTCCGCAATTTTTGAGACAAATGAGACATTATTCCTTAGGCATTGATTTATCACATGGATTGATTATATCAAGGTGTCGACATGTTTTGATTGGTACCGAGAAACTCTTGTCAGAAAAATGAGTGGACTCGGGGCCGTTTCATTGATAAAGGTTTGGACTGAAAAGAAGGGGGATATTGTTAAGGTTATGATCGGCGGGAGTTTAGTTTGAATTTGCTCGGGTGTAATCAGGTTGCGGTATCTCGTTTATAAAATTGGTCAAGGCCAAGGAGGAGTAAGTTTTAAATATTTTTGAACTTTTATTCATAAGTATTTATAAGTTACAACTCAAGGGTGAATTTAAATGATTTTTGAACTATTATTCATAAACATTTCAAATTTACAATTGATAAGTAAATATAAATATTTTTGGAATTTAGTTCATAAATATTTAAGGTACAATTGAAAGGGATAAATGACTTTTGAATTTCATTCATGAATATTTGTTTACAAGAGGTTTCATTTATACTGAGCATCTATTCTAAAAAAGTCCTAAAGGATCCTAAGTGTTCTTCATGATGCTCCTTTAATTTTCTCCGCGAATCTCCGATCAACCTGCACAACAAAGACAAAACAAACAGAAGCAAGAAAGGGTTAGAAGTTATCTTCGACACTCTCAGAACATCATCATCATTGAGTGCCGGGAGTGGCACGACCGAAGCCGCATCCTACCCCCGTTACCGATCTGCGCCATTGGCGTCAGATCAGGTAATGTCTATTCTTATCTAAGGGGCAGCCAAGAAAGAGAAGTAAAAGAAGCGTTTTCGGGCCGAAATGATTTGCACAACTGTGGATTCAAACGGATACACGTCAAGTAAATATTGTGGGGTACTATCAAGTAAATTCAAGCCAAGACACGAGTTCATGTTGCTGCCAACAGAATTGGAGTGGCAAGACTCATCACAGTAGAACAACCGGAACCGGATGAACACCAACATAAAACTGGTTCTGACCTCTGCAAAGACACAAAAGAGCATCAGATAATGCATAACAGGTCCAAATGTTCAAATCTGAGCAAAGTAAACAAGTTTCGAAAAACAATCAGTTTTAATTCAGAAAGGAGGCATCAGTTTCGAAAAGCCAACATGCCAGTCCCCATGAGCATCAGTAAGTCCGTTTAGAAATAAACCAGCACATGTGTTGCCACAAATACAAAAGCCTAAGGGCTCAGCTATGCATCACAGCCCAATCAGAGAGACCAAGAGAAACCAGTCAACTATTATAATGAGTTCCGACCATGAATCAAAATCAAAATGGATGGAACAGGGATTCAGCCCTCAGTTTAACCATCATTGGGCATGAGAATTCGAGCGGCTGGGAAAGCCACGGCCGAAGCCGTTACCAATTCCCTACCGAACGTCGAACTGCAAGCATCGGTAATTCCACACAAACTATCAGCTCAATTCAAAACGACAGCTCAGACCCGTGGGTCATCATCGCTAAGGTCATGCGACCAAAACCAAATGGCAATGGTGTCCAACATAGGTTCAGACGAAGCGTCATCATAACCATTGACCTCCCTCGACGAAAATCGTCGACCCGGCAACATCCATTCTGAAAGATGAAGAGAAAGAAGTTAACAGAACTCATGACAGAAAACCAGAAGGACAGATAAACTGATAACCAAGACAAGCTAATATTCAACATCCACCAGCCATATCACATCTGAAACAACAGCAACAATGCAGTAAATCAAAAGGGTAGGTTCAGTGTGAAACAAGCTTCGTGCCAGAACAATCCAACAAGAATCCCAAGCCTGGTCAGTCAAAATTCGCCTCGAACAAGATCCCAAGAGCCAAAGTCTGAGAAAACAACAATCAAGCAACATCAGAGGCAACTTGTTGAGTTTCAAATTACCTACGAACAAAGTCACACCGAAGAAGAAGATCATTATGTAATCAATTCGAGGTAAGCTCAATATGGAAAATCGACAACACGATGCACGCATGAGCTACACCAGGAAAAACAGCGCATCAGCAATCCAAACAAACCATATCAGATAAAATATGAGAATCGACAAAGGA